GGGGATGCTCAGCGAGAGCAGCGCTGGGATGCTGCCGTAGCTGGGGCGCAGCCAGCAGCGGGACACCGGGGCACCTTCCTCTCAATGGCTTTGGGCAGAGCAATTGCCAAGCGGCAGGTAACACCACCTGCTCACCCGCAGGTAGGAGGGACATTCGTAGTTGGTATTAGGTATCACTAAGAACATGTTTCCTGAAACAAATATTAAGAGCACACTCATGAATCTCTCTGGTCTGCACGAATCTGAGCGGCCATGTAACAGCCCCCTATTTAGCTCACTGGCCTGCTTTCCCAGTAATTCTTTGCATCCAGGAGCAGGAGACAAGCATGAAACCCAGAACTAGTTTAAATGCTGTTATATACCCCAAACGACCAATTTCAGGGCAAATCACAGAACGATTTTTGTAACTTCAGAATATTTAAACGTGTGCCAGTTCAGAGATCACAGCTCCGAGCAAGAGCCCTGAAGCATCTACCTTCCACTCCTCTAAATATTTCCAGCCAGGGTTTCTGTATGCAGCTACCATAAGCAAAGCTGCAGCAAAGCTGAGGAAATTTGAGCAGAGCAGACGCCTGTGGCACGGAGGCCGGGGAAGCCGGGCTGGCAGCCCACGCTGCCGGCTGACTCATCCCGGCTGTGCAGGAGAACAGCTTGTGAACTGTGGTTGCTTCACCTCCGCAATAGCTGGGTCAGTAACCAGAGCCTCAGTCTGCGGCAGTCATCCGCTGCCCCAGTTCCCCACAAGCCCCTCATCGCTCCAAAATTTGCCCTAAGTTCCCGCTGTGCTCCAGAGAGGTCACCTATGGACCGAGTTGCTCATCATTCACTGCTTACCACCCATGGGAGGTAATGAATGCAACATTTAAAAAAGCCAATAGGATTTTTCCTCTGCAAAGCAGCATTCCCTCTATGGCACTGTCCGAACTGAAGACACAGGCACTCAGCCTCACTCGGCACCTACCGCCCCGCTGCTGCATTCAGGGTGGCACAGAGGAAACCAGCCAGGACCATCTGCACAAAAGCAGCTCTTCCTCCAGCCCTGCAAGCCTCTTCCAGCCCTCATTTAATCCACGCACAAGGAGGCAGGAGGCGACAAAACCAAAGTGTGAGTCAGCACAGGGCAGCTGAGACACAGCTTTGACTGTGCAGGGCCAGGCAGCGCCAGGAACACCAGGCATGAGCAAGCCCATGGACCCCGCTCCCAGAAATGGGTGCTGGTTTTGCTGGAGTGGGGCTGCCACCTCCCAGTGCTGCCAGCTACTTACTGGGCACGGCTGCGGGTATGGAGTTTTGGGAGCGGTGCTTGCTCTAGGGAGGTGTGAAGTCTTTGCATGCTTTGGCTGTGAGGAGGAGAGTTAAGAGATGCACAGATGTCTGAAATACCCTCTGTACCAATATCACAACACAAAATCTCAGTTACTAACCCAGATCCACCATATTACAGTCGAGTTATTGCTAGTCACAGAGCTGTAACATCCCACAGCAAGTACACAATGTATATGTCCCGAATTACTAATATTTGTAGCACCCAAATATTAAAATGCATTTTGATAGCACATTTAGTGATTCAATCTGCAAATTACTCAAGAGAAGGAGGCGTGCTCACTGAGACAGCATAAACACATTTGTCTGGAAATAGTTGTAAATCTGTTCGTGACGCTTTAATAGACGTTTTGCTTTATTGCTGGGAAAGGGCAAGCTACTTGGAGGATGTTTCTCATTGTAAGTGATGATGAGAAGTGTACATTGAATGCATGTCATATTATTTGTAAAATACAAAGTGAAAACTCTCTGGAATTCAAGGCAAAGGCTGTGGTGCATTAATCACCTCCGACATAAGCCCTACAGTGCCATGACACAGCCAAGATCTTTTCCAGTTCAAGTCAGTGATGGCCAGCTCAAAGCAGATTTTTATGAAATCAGAAGAATTACCTCACATCCCAAGGAGCAGGTCATGTTTTAGCTGACGTGAATTGGCAGGGTCAGGACCACATCCAGGGCTTGGTGCCACAGAGCAGGGTACAGGATGGCTGCGGGGGAGCCCCCACCTCCTCCTCCAGCCCTTCTGCAGGTCCCGCCTGCCCCGGGGAGCATGGGCTGTGTTGCAGCAGACCTGCACGTGGATCCCAAACTCTACCGGATCACCGGAGGCAATGAGA